GGTATTTAAAAGACGTGTAGATGAGGCGCTTAGGGACATGGTTTAGTGGACATGGTGGTGTTGGGTTGACGGTTGGACTCGATGATCTTAGAGGTCTCTTCCAACCTTAATGATTCTATGATTCTATGATTCTATACTGGGAAAAAAATAATCTAGTTCAACAAACCGTATTTAGGGCATAATAATCTATGAGTTCTGAGCATAGGTGAAGAGCCAAATTCAGTTTTATTAAACTGGCATAAGCCCAGAGTACGTCTAATTAATTCAAAGAAATTATTCTGGATTCATAACAGTGTAAATGAGAACAGAATGTGGCACAACATGCACAGCCTTAGGATAAAGAGAATGATGACTGATATATATACATTTGATAATGGAGGGGATCCTACACTCAAAGAAATAGTTTAATTAGTGCCATAAACTTTTTACAAATAAAAGAAGAGGAAATGAATGCTTCACCCCATGGAATTTTTATCTTTACCTGACAATCTCGTTATTCACAGAAATGGCTTCCAGGTATTTCTTCAGTGCATAATAATTATGGATATATTTCCGAACATAGTAGCCTCGCCATCTTTTCTGAATCTAGAGGAAATAAATATTTGCTTAGTGTATTTCAAATAAAAAGCTTGTATGCATATCAAATATCTGTTGTATTTCCCAAATAATATCGTTTCCTTAAAAGTGATACCAAGTAGAAGCACCGATATGTTTCAATGAAGAAAATGAGGGTAGGACGTAACATATTGTAGTTAAAAGGTGATATGAATTCACTATTAAATGCCAACATTAAAAATAATGTCAAGTTTTAAACCACTGTTTATATTGGGGTGTGGCAATGAAAAGAAGTGTCTGCTACTGCCAGTGGCATTGCTCTATTTAAGAACAGTAAAAAACAGACAACAGAAGTGGTGTCTTTTCTCAGGTACAACATGCATTCCCTACTGAGTCACCACCTCACCAATATCTTCTGCTACACTCTCACCTTTGTGCTCTGGATATAATCTAAACTGAATAGAAGCCTTCCCAGTAACTCAATGAATCAGGCTTTCTGGAAACATCATTTACAAATTGCAGTTCTTTCATCTCCAATGTAAGATGATGCACTTCTATTTGTTGCACATTAATTATAATTTTCTCACAAAATGCTATTCCTCCTGCATAACAGGTAAAGCTTAAACTGGAAAAGGAAACCTATTAATCTGTAGCTAGTCCTAAAGTTGTATTAAGAATAGAAATTAGGTAGCATCCTCCACCAGAAAAGATTCATATTTTGGCGCATTTTAAAAAGCATCAGTTAAAAAAAAGGCTTAGTCTAGCCTGACTTTCCCCAAGAATTTATTTCAACAAAACAGTTTAAACCTTCTCTGATACTTAAAAATTCTAATCATGATGTTTCTGAAATGATTACAGGTTTACTGGCTATCTGTTTTGTGGGAAGGGAAAGTAAGTATTAATTAGGTAAAAAATTATCAGCACTGCCATTTGGTTCACCATATTTATCCCTAAGCCATGACATGTACAGGCAGAAGACGTAACTTGCTCTATTCAGTCACGTTGAGGGCTGCTCTCACTCATTTTCTTTCCCGTAAGAGGTCAGCATATTCTAGATCAATACATCTGAAAAATTGATTAACAATCTTTTCCTCTGTTCTCAGTGTCTCATTCCTCTTTCTTTACATTCTTCCATCCTTGAACTTATTTATCTTCCTGCAAACTATTCTTTGCTTCCTTGCATTTTGTCTCCTTTTTTTCCTCAATATATTTCTAAATTAATCTCCCGATTTCTATCTTCTAGTCTGCATTACCTTCACTCCTGCTCCAACTTCCATCTCTTTGACCTTTACAGCTTTGAAATCTTAAGAGATATAACAGCTGAAAGGCAGAATCTACATTAAAAAAGCAAGAAGATTGAGGTCTTACGATCCAGAAGCAACTCCGAGGTGAGGAGGTACTCACCTTCACTAAGTGCATTGAAGAGAAGAATGCTGTAATTTGCCAAGAGCTCTCCTTTTCCTGTGGGCCTCTGGCTACTAGACTTTTCAGGAACTTAAACTCTTCAGTGTATCTACAGGGAATGTTTTTATTTTTTTCCTTTACACCAACCCTTCTCTTTCCAGAACCAAGGTATGACTTGGTTAAGTGGAGTGCAATCCATGTGTTTGTGTTGTTTTGGTTTTTTTCTTACCCTATCTCTCATTCCAAAGAAGCATGTAAAAAAAGGAAAAAAAGAGTGTCATGTTTTGTTGTGTTTGATTCAGGAAGAAGGCAAGGGAAAAAAACTGCCTGTTTCCCACACCATCAATCAACCTTTGCACTCAGTGACTTCAGAGTCTGTATCATCAAGTCTTGGGAGTGCTCTTCAGTAATAGGAAAAATTCTCTCTACTCCTTCCAGTTCCATTGCAGTCCAATTCTGTACCACTGTGATAACTGACAAAATTTATTGCAATTTTCCATCTCCTGCTGTTTCCTGAGCTGAAAACAGTAACACACTGGAGCCACCTATAAGCAGACTAACTAAAGCAGGGTTGCATATTTTCATACTTTGCCTTTGGTATCAATTTGCAATCACAAAAGCCAAACCACTATTCTTTAAAGTTAAAACTAGCATTCAGTCTCAACTGATGGCACCTGTGGTACAGCTGTAATTATCTCTTTAAGTGAGATTTAACAAGAGAATAAGTATCACAGGAAAGCTTTCAGTAAGTCTTTGAGTGATGTGCCACCAAGAAAATAAAATTATGCACTAAAGCTGTTAGGAATAAGAGGATATTCACTTTCAGTGTTAGTACACTCTTCTATTTCCCCTTTGTGCCTTACCATGTATTTTCCTCTCTTCTCAAGTAAGACTCAGAACTAATTTAAAAGTTGGTATTTTCTTTTACCTATGTGTTGTTTGTTTGGGTTTTTTTGAATAAAAAAGGTTTGGACCTCTAGACATTGTTATAATATGAATGAATAAATAATAGTTCTGTGAGCAGCTGAACATGGGAACAAGAAAGGTTAAGCACCAGACATGCTTCTTTGCACTAGGTGATAGTAAATTTCATACTCTTTGCAACTCTGCTTTCACATACACAAGCTTATTGGGTTAAAAAGGGGTAGAGAAAGAGCAAAGAATGAGTATGCCTTCAGAGATCTGGGATTAAGCAAAACCCTTTGCATGTGAGTAAGGATCTTAGCTTTGTTTTTCTGTTTGGCTTCAAAATTTCTCAACAAGAGCAACTTGGCTCCCATATAGCTGTGCGCTCATTAATGCAGGATTATGGTCCCTTTGAAACTCTTTCTGACAGTCTTCACCTCACAGTTATAAATGCAGAACTGGATATTTGTGGGTTAAAGGATCAAAACTCAAACTGAAAGACAAAAGACTCAAATTGTATAAAGCTATAATAATCTCCAATGGGCTCAGTGTACCAATTAAATGCCGCATTCTACCTTTATTTACACCACTTTCTGCTCAGAATGACCTCACTGATTTCAACTGAATGAAACATAAGTAAGAAAAACTGCATTATGTCTCAAATTATTTTATGCTAGACTTCTGTTTCTCCAATACTGTATGTCAGAGATCACAAAACTGAAGACTATTCTTTTTGGAAAAGAACATTTTACACAACGCTTCTGATGATGTTCATATTTTCAATGTGGAAGTTCTAAACGTTTGCTTTTATAAGGAAGTATAACGTGTTATGACTATATTTCTTTTTAATTCCAAGGTGAATGTTTAAAAAATTCTTGAAAAAAAGGAGACAAGTGTGTATGCCCTTCAAAGTAATTAGCAAGTTTCAACAGTGATTGGTACAAAACAATTATTGTCATTGATCAGCACTGAACAGATAATTTTAAACAAAGTCATTGTGTGCTCAGCAGATTACAGCTTGTTAACGGGCAAGTTCTAAATGACCTCTTAAGCTAGTCAAATCAATGATGCATATTCCTCATTAAGTAACATCAAAATGTAAGTGGTCTTATAAATAATGTTTATTTTAAGCACTAAAACAAATGGCAAAACCTTGATATATCAAAAGCCATCTGCTCATGGAAATATTTTTTTTTCCATAGGATTATTTTTGTTGCTGAAAATATATAGCAACCTTAAATCTTGTAAGAGAGAGAATCATATTCCGACCTAGTACTCAAAACTGAAATTGATTAAAACAAGTTCTCTGATTTAATTTAAAAAGGTGAAACTGATAGTTTTGGTTACAACTAAATGCAATCCAGGGAGACAGAGATGTAGATTGACTTCGAAACTATGAGCATGTGTACACCCTCAATGATACTTCGATTGCCAAAATCGAAAGTGCCTTTCTAATCAGTGGCTATAAACTGAAATAAATAATTTAAGAATACTATGAGGCAAAACTAAGTGGTTAAATAGAAAAACATACACAGTTATTGTTATATTTTCAGAACACTGAAGTATATTAATCATGAATCAAGCTCACAATGTGTGAATGCGAGGCACTGTTGGCTTAGGAAACCTGAAGAATGGCAGCGTTTGAAATCTGCTCTGCAGATATGGCTGTATGAGATTTAGACAGAGGAGAATCGGATTCTGACATTTGCAACTAAATAAAGATCTGTTCTATTGTTTTCTACTGATTTAAATTTCCATTAAAGAAAAGGACATGACTGAAAAAATGATACTTTGAAGATTTATATCACCTAATGATTCAACATTATATTTCCATTACAAATGAATGGGAACACATTCAATTTCTTTTAAAAATGAAAGACCAAATGCAAAACTCCATTTGACTAGAATACATAATTACCTCTGAAATTTGGTCTTCAAATGCCTTCTAAAAGTACACAGCCAACTTTTAAGAGCTGGCTTGCATCTTGTGTTTTCTCACTGATTTCAGCTGCATGAGTATAAAGTATTTATCCACTGTGGAATACTTTCAAACTAGCTAACTAAGGAATAAACTAAAACCAAAAAAAAGTGCATTTCTGAGGAATTAGATTGCTGTTAAACACCTCCAGCTCTCTAACATGCACCAAATGTAAGATTCTATTTGTGCCTTTCAGAGAACCAGCACCAAGTCAAAAACCTGATGGGAATACATCTCTTGAGTCTGAGTTATTTTGGAGCCAGAAAGGCCACAAAATTAAAATCCATTTTTGAATCTTCCTACTTTACAGGAGTTTCCTTGGGTTACTCTCCATCCCCACCACATTCTTACATTTGGTAGAATTCAAACGGTAAGACGCCTTGCCTAAAAAGATATAGGCCTCTAAAGTAAAGCAGGTTTATTCCACAAAATAAAAGAATTAAGTAAGATAAAAAGATTTCATCCCAAGAATTCTCTCATGTCCTTCCCATGTTAGTTTTACATATTTGTTTTAAGTGCAGTTCCAAAGTTCAGGAAAAAAATGCTAATTTCTAGTTAAATATATTTTGCAGTTTTCCCCATAACAAACTTCATTTACTGTATATTTATTAAAGTTCAAGGACTGTTTATACTCTTCCTCATCTAGCAAAACTCACTCATAGTATCATCAATGAGATCAGTGCAGTTCCACCTCTACGTTTAGGCAATGAAATTGTCCTGTGCTCTCTGAGTAACTCTTTTGAGATTCAATACATCAAATGTCATGCACTAACAAAAGAAAAAGCACAGCCACATCAATGAACATAAAAGTCCTATAGTTTGTCAGAATTGTAAATATATGTGTACATTTGTAAGAATACTCGCAGATAGAATGTTTGGGGGTTTTATCAGTATCGTGTATGGTAAGGTACAATGAACATTTAAATGGGGCAAGACATATGCAGATGCCTTAAATTCAGCTACAGTTTTCAAATAAAACCCTGACTACTGAGTGTAACTTTAATTTTTAACTATGTACTATTTCCCGCTGTTGCCATCAGCATATCAATCAAGTGTATATTATTCTGGTTTGCTCATTTTATCAAAAGCAAATTCGGAGCACAATTGACTTTTCATTTGTTTAACAAGTGAAGAAATATTTACCCTGACAGCCACACATTTGACTTTTCATTTGTTTAAAAAGTAAAAAAATATTTCCCCTGCCAGCCATTTCATTGTAGAAATTCATCTTCATAATAAAATATGCTGTCTGTGAATCAAGGAAAAAAAAGATGGCATATATTTCAGTTACACAAAGACAGTGCTCCTATTTTTACATATAAAAGGTAAGAATCTTTATACATAATACATAATAAGAGTTCTAGGCTTAGAGAGAATAAAATCAAACTTTGTATTGAAGAGATAGGCTTCCTAATACATAATGCAGGCTTAACCAGAAAAATCTATGGTAGTCAAACTAGGAGCTAATGGAGATATATGATCATAAAATGCTCTCCGCTGAGTTTGATAATCAATGGTGCTCTACTGAGAGTAGAATAACAAAGCAGAAATATTCACAAGTGCTGGTGACACGTAGTATTGTATGATTTATTCACTGGGGTTCTTTTAGCCAAAACTCACAGAAACATAAAAGGAATTCATATTTCAAGACGTCTGGTTTAATGAAAAATTCAAAGAAATGCTGTCTTCAGTCGAAATCGTTCAAGGATACGGATGCAGTGATGGAGCAAAATTGTGCCTTCCAACCATCTGTACTAAATGTTATGTACTTAGCTGCCTCCCGAGTAATCCTTGGGAATTTTGTTTCATTTAATATTCATTTTAACATCATAAAATCATAAATACAATGATACCATGTTACAGTGAATCCCCTGATATAGAAAACATTTCCTGAAGTCCTGGTTTCCTTCCAATAAAGTAGAATTCCTCTCATAGTGAACGAATCCCCTATTATACTAAGCAATCACTTGGCAGCATAGGTTATTTTAATGGATACATCACTTTAAACTAAGCTTTCACATCTGTTCCGCCCTCTAATTACAAATGCAAAATGAACATAATTCACAATTGTATCATAAAAAGTAAAATATAAGTACTTTGAATGCAGGAGTATGTCCTTTATTTAGCACAACATGCAGCTTTTATGTGTTTCTCATGTTTTAGACACAAATCAAAGGCAAAAGTGCTTTCCCCTGATATAGTGATTTTCTCCCCCATGGCAAACAGGAATTCACTATAAAAGGGTTTCACTGTAATTAGTGTTATTTGAATTGCCTAGTCTGATCCAAAGCAAATTGTCTGTGGAGAGCAGCAGGACTGGATTATTTATCAACAGTCTGGGCAATTAAGAAACAGTTGGCTGCAATATGTTATTTACAAATGAACACAATGATGCTACTTCATTTTAAATTCTCTTTCTTCATTACATTAAGCAAGGCATAATTCCTGCAGTTTAATTAAGGTGCATTTTAAATGCTCACTTTAATATCATACCAATCTACTAATAATGGAAACAGTAGAAAAGATATTTCTTATATGAAACAAAAAATGCAGGACTGCTAAATTTCAAAAAAGTTTCATGTATATGTGTAGATGTATACACATACACAAGTATACATATATATATTTGAGGGAATATCTGTCCCAAAGGTATGAATTAGAATAAATAGTAGACTCTACCTCCCCTTTTGTCTCCATAAATGTTTTCTGAGTGATACTAACTGTAGATAGCTAATATTGGAATGAAATAATGGTTGCCAGGTCTAAGTATGTTCCTAAACTGTTCAATTAAATTGATACAATTTTGTCTTGCAGCTCATCTTCTCTTTCTTTGGAACGGAGTGGAAGAGTTGCACCACCACCAAATAGATAAAGCACGTTTTTAATGGAAATTCCTAAGCTTAAAAATTATCATCAGATTTCTGTCCATCAATGATTAAACTAAACAATCGCACACCTTTTTGTTTATTCTTCTCATATTTGAATGCCGTGAAGACTTAGGTCTGAATCCATCCTATTTCACGGAAGAACCTAAATTGGAGACCTAACATCGTTATGCTCTTTATATCATCAATACTGAAAGACAGTGGGACCACTTTCCCTCTGAGCTTGGCAAAGTATTGCAGAGCTCTGCAATTGCATCTCTGTCTACTATTTACAGAGATAGTCAATGACAACTAGGGTCCTAACTCGCCTACCTTGCTTAGGTGTGACAAATCCAGACCTTACCCTACCACTACTTAACAAGGTCACTCACAATAAAAAGGAAATTACACATTCCTGCTTTTACTCAACATTGTTCTAAATCAGAAGTCAGCCAAATGCAGAATTGCTCCTATGACTGTCTTACAACCTTAGCCTTGCACCAAAAGCCAAAGCCTGTGTCACGATCTAGGTTCTTTTGCAAATGGATTTGCCCTCTCTTTTCTAATCCTGTTTAGAATAATATGAACTAGTTCTGCTATTACAAGTGATGGAGAATGTGTTCATCCCTAGCCACAAAAGCATAGCCATAATTTAGTGCTTCAACCCAAGTGTATACTTATGTGCTTTCCTAGTAAACAAAGGATTCTTTCCTGAACTGGGGCCTCCTTGTCCAGAAGACTCCTTTCTTATGCTTAAGTGGAATTTCCTGCATTTCAGCTTGTGCCCATTGCATTGCCTCTCATCCTTTCTCTGGGTGCCAATTCCAAGGTGGCACTGCAAGGTTGACTCTCTGGGAAGAATTATCTTGCCATCTCACTGACATGCACCAGCTCCACTTCTGAACTGTGAAGTCTGTCTATCTGTCTCTGATGTTAATATACAGGTCTCCCCACTAGTTTACTTTAAGTCTATGATTCCAAAACATATTTGAAGCCTTTTGTGTATAAACTATTGTACTACTTTCTTCTTTTCTGTTTAAAAACATATTTGGGGATAACCTACAAATGTGATCTGATCCTGACTGGTGTTTTCCTTTTCTTTAAACAGTTAATACAGAGAGACAAATTCAAAGGAAAACCAGAAATTTGATTGAGAGTAGATTGAGAGAAGGAACCAACACATGGTCTAAGTTGGGAACAGACACTTTTTTTTTTTTAAATAGAGCAAATAGGCATTTGCCTAATTCCTGTTAGACTGGGACTATTTAAAACTGGTTACTGAGTTGAAGCTAAACTTTTTAGGGTGGTGTCAAACTACATCACATAAAATATTTACTTTTTTCAACTGCATCTCCTTCCAAAGTGAGCTGAAAATATGTCCATCATGCACACTGACTTCATATAACAATGAAATGTTACAATTCCATTTGCTTTAACAAGTGATTTCTTGACTTTGAGAAATATTGTAAAAAGAAACATTGATGTACAGTTTGATTCATGTTCTGGTGTTTGCCTGGTTTTAAAATTCATACTTTCCTGCAGGTCATGCAAGATTTTCAGAATCCAGTACAACCAATGTAACTAAGTTATTAAGAAAACTATAGGAGCGCAGTTCTTAATTTTAGCTTGAGATTAATATTAGGAAACAAAGCTTTATACCAAAGCACCTATATTTAGCATATAGAAAGGCACATAACTTTAGTCACGTAAACACCATCAATAGTTTTTTTTTAACTTAATGTATTTTATCAATCAAAGGAAGAGGCACTAGAGGAGTAACAAATGGAATACTAGTAGTGAGGCACATATGGACAGCCAATCTGATGAGCCTCAGCCTTTGTTATTTTCCGCATCAGTACCACTCACATTTCAGAATTTTGAATATAATCATTAAAATGATTTATTGTCAAGTAATCATGGGTATTTTGTGCATATGCTTTGCCTTGTTTGCTGGCAGCAGATACCAATCCAATCATTATCAGCGGACAAATTTTAAAGTGACCAATTTTTTTTGTATTTAAGAAACTATCATGTCAAATGTATCACTGTATTTCATAATCAGGAGTCATTACAACAGTTATTAGCAAGAGTTCAATGCAAACATTAACTGACCCTTTAACTTAGAAGTCGCATTAAGTTGCTGAGAAGATTTTTGTTTCTTTTTGAAATATTCCAAACAGCCATTGATCGAGTAAAGATAGTATAACAATGAATATAGGGAATGAGCTTGAACTTTATATTTAGGTCCACCCCAAAACATACAATACTGAATACAGCGGTCTAAAGGGAGAAAAAAGTGCCTTTTTATCTGCTACTTGCATGGCTTTCAGGTTGGCTTCCAATCAGGCTGTCCTATTTAGTCCTATCCAATCAAAGAGATGGCAAGCGCAAAATGAAGCATTTGAGGGAAAAAGATGGTTTTCCATGCTGATTGCTGTACAATTCATAAGCTTGCTGATGAGATTCTGTTTCTCTAGAGCCCTGGCTAATATTGTATAAGTGCTGGTATCCTGAATTCATGGTCTGATTTAGAATGTGTGTATTAAATGTGGGCTTGCACAATTTTTTGTCCTACATTATTCCACAGTCTTTAGACTTGGCAAGGGCTTGTCAGTTATGTCTATTTGAAGAACAACATATGAACCAGGCTTTATTGGTTAAAGTCTTTTTTGTTGTTGTTTTTCTTTTCAGAAATATATTTCAAGAATGGAAAGCTGAGGGGGTTTTATGATGCTAGCTATCTCAGCTTGGTTATTACAGGAAATCTGTGCTAATTTTAAAGACTCTCTATCTTAAAATGTAACTGTCAGAGTATTTTTTAAGAAGAGAGGGCAAAAGAAGAAAGGAGTAATAAAGAGATGAGGTAAAAGACCTCCAATTTCATAGCTGCATGGAACAATTGAGGTTGGCAGGGACCTCTGGAGCTCCAAACCATTGCTCAAAGCAGGGTCAATTAGAGCAAGTTGTGCAGGGCCTTGTTCAGTTGTGTTTTGAGTACCTCCAAGGTGGGAGACTCCACAAGCACAGCTCGCACTCTTTGGGCAACCCTAAAGACTCTCTATCTTAAAATGTAACTGTCAGAGTATTTTTTAAGAAGAGAGGGCAAAAGAAGAAAGGAGTAATAAAGAGATGAGGTAAAAGACCTCCAATTTCATAGCTGCATGGAACAATTGAGGTTGGCAGGGACCTCTGGAGCTCCAAACCATTGCTCAAAGCAGGGTCAATTAGAGCAAGTTGTGCAGGGCCTTGTTCAGTTGTGTTTTGAGTACCTCCAAGGTGGGAGACTCCACAAGCACAGCTCGCACTCTTTGGGCAACCCATTCCAGTATTTGATCAACCTCACAGTAAAAAAAGTTCGTTCTTATCGTTGAGTGCCCTGTCACTGGGCATCAATTCCAAATGCTGTTGCAGGCTGGCTCTCTAGGAAGAATGATCTTGCCATCTCACCTATGGCATCTCACAGGGCACCACTCGGAACAGTGCAATGGACAGTAGGCACAGTGGTGATGTGTTCATTTTGTATCTTATCTGGGCACCACTGTTTTTACAATGTTTATATATAAAAATAAGTCTCTGAAGTGACATAATTCTTTTTAAAATAGGAAACTGATTACTATCAATAAAGAAATCAGCATTTGAACATGGGGTGGCCAAAAGATTGCTCCTTACAATTTGGGGGGATTGAAAAATGTGTAAAATGGCCACCATCCAATCTTTGTCCTGCTTAAGCAGTCTTAAAGACCTAATGATCAGATGCCAAAAACTGACATGGTTCTTATCTCATCCTGAAAAACACAGAAACCCATAAATCGCCTTGTTTCTGAAGTGAAGTTCACCACTCTACAATGTTTTAACTGTGAAAAAATGTAGAACTTGAGGGGACGTCATGAGATGACTTCACCTAAAACATTGCCTGAAGCATATCTAAGCCATCCATGATAAGCATTTGTCTAACCTGCTCTTAAAAACCCGCAGTAGAGGGAGTTCCACAACATCTTTTGGCAGTATGTGTCAATGTTTCACATGAAGTTGATATCTTCCTTCCCTTTTCCTAGTGGCTGCACAGATCCTTTCATTAACAAATTTTAACATACATTAGCATTACCATGTTTCTCTTCTTCTACAGAAGCTTTTCTAGATTAAACAAACCTTCCCTAAACTCAGGGACAATATTCAACTGAAGTCCCACTTTTTTTAAAGCAGAACCCAATCCAACCATGCAGCTATCTGTCCTGTATTCAGAAATTAGTGTTTTAGAAGGTAGACTGAAAACCATAGCCTGAAAGGATGACCCATAAGTTATTAGTTAAGCCAGCTAATTTGGAAGAGAGAAAATCTTTAATTAGATTACTGATAGACTTGGGGGAAAAATAGATGAGCTTTCAGGCACACAAGTCCTGCTACTTGAAAACATAGTTTAGTAGGAGGTATGGACTTTAGCCTGTAATATATGAGTTACTATGGTGCCTTTTTTTTTTGCTTTTTCTTGACTTGTCTGTTTTGACTGAAACACAACAATTTAACTTTAACAAAATTAATCAAGAATAAAAGACTAACAAGTTTAAAACTACTGTAAAATATTAACATAAATTTATAAATTAGTGAAGTAAACTACATATTAAAAACTTGATTATTTTATGTTAAAGGCAAATTAGTTTCTTCTTACTCTCCTAAACCTGTTAACAGCGGTTTTAGCTTGTGTGCTATCGTACACTTCTGCTATCTTCAAGTCCGTCAAGGGAATTAGATTGACTGTGATCTGCTGTGTGCCTTAAGGCAAAACCTCAAATGCTCCAAGGTTCATTAAGTAAGAAATTTAAACCACTGAAACACAGAACAGCAATGTGTACACACATTGGCTTATTTTATTTTCAGAATTAAAAGTTCTGCCAGGAAAACAAGCATCTTGAAAAGCTCCAATCCTGCAATTAGCATCATGCGGGCAGGCTTCTGCATGAGCAGATCTCATTGCTGGTTTGGGGACTAATACTCCAGAGCTGCAAACACTTAAACACTGACTTAACTTGACCGTTAGGAGTAGGCTTACTGAAATTAATGGTGCTTTTCATGATAGTAAAGTTAAGTACGTGTCTGTGTGTATAAAGGATCAAGTTTCAGCTTTTTAATTTCAAGATGAGTGAATTAATTACCTCATATGTATTCTATAAATAACCAAACAAAATTTTTAAAACTAGTTTTCTACCTCCACCATTTTTCTGAAGTATCTTCTGGTTTGATAACCTCTCCACCACTTCTGTATAAAAATCACCATTTTGTTCAGATATCTAAAATAAAACATATTAACAAACTAATGATTATTTTGAGACTTTACAATATAACTTTATTTTTTCCTAATATTAAAAATAACTTTTAGTGTATTATCCACACTTATTCCAAACCGATGGCCACTGCAAACATACTTTATACATATATATGTATGCATATATACATATGCACACACATGCACACTTATAAATCAATATATACATATATTTATACATACACACACACTTTGCTTTTAGAAAAAATGGGTTACTGCAAAATTACCTATATACTATTTCAGTTATCATTACAAAACTTTAATGAAATAGCCTTACAAATGTAATTTGCATGATAGATGATTGTATTTTCAAGAATGGTTTTAACCAACATATCTGACCAGTTCTGAAATCCACCAGTAGAACTTAACTTTCTCAATAAGAGTCCAGTTACCATACACTCACTAGGCAATTTTTCTGTAACATCCACAATAACAGGGATAAGTAAAGTCTCTGCAAACAGCATATCTGAGGGACATGGGGGTTTTTTCCAGTCACGCGAATATTTCTTAAACAATACTGTGTAACTATTCTGAAGATGGATTATTTCCATGCTACTTACTAGCATCATGCCATTTTAATTTTCTGCAGTTCTGAAAATCAAAAAATATTATTTCTTACAGTGGCACAGCATATATTTAATTCTATTTAAAAGCAGAATAACTTTTTTTTTCACCCAAATGCTCCTATTTTATTAAAATGAAGTAATACCATGAGAAATTTTGGGAAAAAAACAAGATTGAAATACAGATTAAAATAGGCTTAATATACTACCTCAGATAGGCTCGGACTCTGCATCCTCGAAACCAGCTCTGGATTTTGACAGCAGCTTTGTACTCTATTTTTCTGTCTTCATCTACAGATCTGAAAATATAAAAAGTAGTAATACTTGTCAGCATGGTAATTTAATCCATGAGAAATTTTGGGAAAAAAACAAGATTGAAATACAGATTAAAATAGGCTTAATATACTACCTCAGATAGGCTCGGACTCTGCATCCTCGAAACCAGCTCTGGATTTTGACAGCAGCTTTGTACTCTATTTTTCTGTCTTCATCTACAGATCTGAAAATATAAAAAGTAGTAATACTTGTCAGCATGGTAATTTAATACCAAAGCAGAAAAATTCTTCTAAATATGCCTTACTATTGTAGTTTGTGATCTTTTTCACCAAGTTTTTCGTTTTTCAATTCTACATCAATAATAGTTTATTAAAATGAAGTAATACCATGAGAAATTTTGGGAAAAAAACAAGATTGAAATACAGATTAAAATAGGCTTAATATACTACCTCAGATAGGCTCGGACTCTGCATCCTCGAAACCAGCTCTGGATTTTGACAGCAGCTTTGTACTCTATTTTTCTGTCTTCATCTACAGATCTGAAAATATAAAAAGTAGTAATACTTGTCAGCATGGTAATTTAATACCAAAGCAGAAAAATTCTTCTAAATATGCCTTACTATTGTAGTTTGTGATCTTTTTCACCAGGTTTTTCGTTTTTCAATTCTACATAGTTCAATAATAGTGCAGAACAATATAATCTACATTAGTTGCATATTCTGAAAATAACAAAGATAAAGAGTATCGCAACTTGATGGTGATGCAAGGTTTGGAAGAGGGTACTTCTTATTCCCATACAATACTGAATATCCATGTCAGCATGTCATGGACTTCTTCCATTGTAGGTGAAATATATGAATAATGCTTTAATGATAATTAGGCCTGAATTATAACAAAAATCCTGTAGCTACATATAAAATTGTATATCTGCATGAATATTAAATAAATTAACTGTGGTCAATATTATCATGATAAATACCAATTGAATCAATAAAAAGCATATATTAAGGGTGACATCTAGTTCAAATACATTGTTTTATGACCAATACAAAATATTTTATTTGTTTATTACCTGAACAGTGATAACACCAATAATGGTGACAGATACACTCCTTGTCTGTAGATTTTTTCAATGAATACGAGCTAATCTTACAGGGTGAAAGTAGAGGATTTAGACCTTTTAGCTAGTTTCTTAGGAAGGAATTTAAAGAGGAGAAATATGAAAAAGAAGAAGAGGTAACTGAAGGAAAGTGAGATACAAATGAAGTTAAAACTATTGTAAGTTAGAACAATGAAAGCATAGGAAAGAAACTGGATGTGGAAATTTCCAAACTTTAGAAGGCCTGGAATGTCAGGATATGAAATCTTAGTGTGGCTTAAAAGGAAGTTGCAAATTGGAAACAAATGTTGTTGGTAATTTGGATAGATTCCAAAGGGATGACCATGAGAATCTTTTACATGGAATTATAGTAGTCAATGCAACAACTTATTGAGTCTTGATAGGACTTTGCACAATGGGAATTCAAAGACACGAATTTTGGAGATAATGTAGAAATGAAACTGGCAGCATATTGGCATGTGCTGCAGACAGGCAAGGAGGGAACAAAAGGAAACAAAAGAATTAGAAAATATGCTAGGGTTGCAGCATTGATTAATATCAGTGAATTAGGAACTAATGAAAAAGGGAGTATACAGAGGAAGATGAAGACTTTGTTTTTAAGTTACATGAGAAGAAAGGTTATCTAGAAAGAGATACTGGTGAGGCAGCTGAAGATGCAAGATAGATGTAGGTGGAGAATTGATGGAGATTTTCATCAAAATCAAGGAGACTTTCAAGAACTACTAGCTGTCAAAGCTTTGTGTCAAATGACATAGTACAAGGAAAAAGCATGTGCATAAAGGCATGTGCACAAGTGGGAAAGAAGCACAAGTAAAAGGACCTCATCGGAAAGCCAGAAAATAATTCCAAGAGATAGTCCTTGCTTGCCTTCTTTCTGTGACTCTGTCTATTAGGACAATAGTGTTTGTAACAAAGCTAAAAGTCATGTAAGGAAAACCATGAATCTAAAAGAGATTAAAGAAATGTATGAATCTGGAAGAGACTTTTCAGAGAGTTCAGGAAGAAATCACTATTATGATGAGTTTCAATGCTGAGGGATAGAACCCAGCTATGAGATCACCTCTAGCTTTTATTTACTTTTTTGTTTGCTTGTTTCAAAATGTCGATAACTGTCAAGACTTCGAACTTAAAATTATATTTTAATTTTAATGGATTTTTTGCTATCCCATTCTTATTAGGAACGTATTTGCCAAATAGTTTAATTTGTTACACCTGCCACAAAAGAACCATCAGGTTACTATTAGTTAGTTGTCTTAACTAACTAACTTAACTACTTGAAGTTAGTTAGCTCTCCTAACAAAGTGTTGTGTCAACATTAATTGCCTTGGTAAACACCAACAAAATTAATTTTTATCTAATAAATTAGGATTATCCTCATTATATTTCTTGAAAATGAAACACAGATTTACTACCAGAGATCAAGAAGCATTAGCCTGATGCATTTTATATCATCTGGTGCAGCATGTGCTCTCAAATCACATTAAAAGGACACAAATTTTCATCGTCACCTGATGTGCATCAGACCCATCCAGTACCTCTAAACTGTGGAAAAGAGACTTTTTTTACCTAAGACCACAAAATAAGTCAATATCAAAGCTGGCATTTATGCTAGAGAGCTTCCTTGTTTCCTTTCTTGTGCAGCTTCTTAGACTTCATAGGAAGGAGACACCTCCAGAATACTTTTACCTAGAGGTAAATGATTTTGATTAAAAGGGTATGAGCGACTTGGCCCTGGACAGGCAGCCACCATTACAGCCTGGAAATTAAGGGGATGTGGGACTGGCCATGTCAGAGGCGACAGCTCCAAAATCAGTCCTACCCACTTGGCAATGGCAACAGTCTGCTTTTGGAAGAGCACAAGCCGCCTCCTCTATTACTCCCTGTTAGGTTTTTTAGTTGGCATTCTGTCTTGCCTGGCTGAGTCAGTTTAGAAGTCTTTGTAAAGTTAACTGAAGCAGACCAACAACAGACTTGTTTTTATTACAGTATAGTTCCACAAACACTTTCAACTGGCCTTGCCAGCAGAAGAAGTGGTTTGGGGTATAAGTTGCTCAAGCTGGCGTCTGCCTTTCTGATCAGGTTGCATAGTTGTCATATTGTTTGAATTAAGCTTTGAGAGTCACAGATACTTCTCAAAGACTTTTCTGAATGTTAAAAAGGCATACTCAAGGTCAGCATCTGACATATAGATGTAACAGTAAATAGAATTAGGTTCTGGAATGAGTAAGTGATAAAATTGTTTAACACTTAAAATAAGAGAATGCACTAGCAGATCCTGTATATGCTAATGCTTATCCTGACAGGGTATTTCTCAAGATGCAGGCTTATGGCATTTTTGCATTGTGCCATCATTGCGCAAGTCCTTCACTAGAAAGGTGCTTTCCCTAAAAAGACACGGTTAGTTTAGGAGACCTCATACCTCTGACATAAACGGAGTTCTGCATAAAGCATGACAGGGATGTTATTAAGATCAGGAAAACATTACTAAGATCAGGTAAACCTGTCTAACCACAACCAGCAGGCAAGGTACTACAGTCATCAACCTGCACTAATTTTTAATGGAACAGGTGTAGAGTCCTAAAATAGCAAATGCATTTTGAAAGATAAAGAAAGTTTTCTAATTTGGGGATTTACTTTAAGGCACTTCAACTACTATGTTCCTCCTGCAGCAGTAATTGCTAGCAAGAGTACTGTATTGGGTTTGCGTGGCAACGTTGGGGGAGGGGGGGGACTACAGGGGTGAGAAGCTGCTAGAAGCTTCCCCCATGTCTGATAGAGCCCATGCCAGCCGGCTCCAAAATGGACCCGCTGCTGGCCACGGCGAGCCAATCAGTGGAAGGGG